TCAATCATCTTTTTTATTTTAATATATATATATATATTATTTCTAGTATTTCAATATTTTTCCAAGGCGCCCCAAGTCAAAACAAATGTCAAGGTTGTTTAAATATTCAGCGCTAAGGCATATACTTGTTACCAGTTTAGCAGAAATGTTTCCTGGTCAGGGGCAGATCCAGAACCTAATCTTGGGAGGGGCACTGGTAGATTATTTAAAGAAACAATCCAGGCACAATAACCACTACAGAACTCTGTACTCGTTATGGTGCAAGGAGTTCCGTTGTGCTCTCCCAGTGTAAGTAGTGAAACTGTTTAGGAACAGTTTGACAACTTACCTGGGATCTGCCGAGATAGGGGCTGTAGTAGGGGATAGAGGCATTAGTGTGTGTGAGGGGTGCAATGTGTGTGGGGTGAAGTGTGTGTGTGAGGGGTGCAATGTGTGTGTGTGTGAGGGATGACGGATACAGTATGTGTGTGTAAGGGGTGCATTGGGTGTGTGAGAGGGGTGCAGTATGTGAGTGTGTGCATGTGGGTTTGAGGGGTGCAGTGGGGGTTTGAGGGGTTTGTGAAGGATGTAGTATGGGGTGAAATGTGTGTGTGACGGGTGTAATGTGTGTATGAGAGGGGTGCAGTATGTGTGTGAGGGGTGCAGTGTGTGTGTGTGGTGAAGTGTGTATGTGTGTGTATCTGTGTGTGTGTGAGGGGTGCATAGTGTGTGTGTATGTGCAAGGGTTGGCAGTGTGTGTCAAGGGTACAGTGTGTGTGTGGGGGGGTGGGCACTGTATGTGAGGGGTACAGTGTGGGCGGTATGTGTGAGGGAACAATGTGTGTATGAGAGGAGTTGTTGGGGGTCTGTGGGGATAGAAAGGCAGATAAATATATAAAACATTTTAAATTAAAAAAATAATTTTCATATCACCCCTTCTTACCTTTGCCTGGAAGGGGGGCAGTACTAAACCCTGGTGGTCTGGTGGAGAAGCCCTGGTAGTCTAAGTGGTGAGAGTAAACTCTAGTCTGCAGCTCCTGAGGCTAGAATTCACTCTCACAAGATTCATAGCGTTGCCATAGCATTGCAAGTTAGAGCTCCCCCGAGGTATGGCACGGTTCCTGGTGTATGATCAGGGGTGGTGTCCCTGTGTGTCCATCGCGGAGCCCCATGGCAACGCGCCACAGAGTTTGGGAACTGCTGTTCTAAAAAGAATAACCACCAGAATGCTTGCTGGTTTCGATAGTAATTTTCCTACTTGTGGTACTTAGTTACTAATTAGTACTAGTTAGAACAGAGCTCTTTGAAATGATTATTGTTATTAACATCACAAATTACAGTCTTTCAACCTCATCTGCTGTCATAAAACACTCTTCCTATCTCTTTATGGCATTTCCATCTTATCAATTACTTATCCAAGTAATTACCTTTAAAAGAAGTTTTCGAGAAGCTGAGATTTTTGATTTTCTCTTTAAAAAAAAAAAAAGAAGAAGAAGCAAAACGTATAAATAAAAAGGATAGCAATGACAAAAGTGACATAAAACATTTGTAGACTTAAGATGATATGTGAAGTGGTAACTTGAACATGATTAAAAGAAAACTATAAATGTTCTTACCTCTCTGACATTGTATAAGGAAATAAAAAAGAGAAAAACATATATATTAATATTGTCAATACAAAAATATTCAGGTAAGTAAAAAAATGAAAGTAAGGAGCAAGAATAGATAGATAATATATACTCACGGTTCAGGCATGATGACACTTTAAGAGTCCACCTGAATTGACAGATAAGAAGTCTGTTATATGGGTGCCCCCACACATATTAGCTACCATAGTTTAAGTGTATGTGACGTGTATATATATATATATATATATATATATATATATATATATATATATATATGTGTGTGTATATTTATATATATAATTTATTATTTAGAGTATATATATATATATATATATATATATATATGTATATATATATATATATATATATATCTTCTTACAGAACTTTAGTAGGGATAGGGGCTATAATAATGGGAATTAAGGAAGGTAGGGGAAGAATTGTGGTGTGGAGGATCAGGGTGATTGTGGGGGATAGGAACAGTATTGTGAGGAATGGGTTGGTATTGTGTTTGGATTAGAACTTTGGTGTGGGGGGATAGGAGCAGTAGTATTGTGGGGTGGTAGGGGAAGTATTGTGAGGATAGGAGCAGTGTTGTGGGGGATTGGGGCTTTAATTTGTGGACAGGGCCAGAATTGTGGTGGGGGCAGTGTTAGGGGGGATAGAGGAAGTATTTGTGGGGTGGTAGAGGCAGTATTGTGGGGAGTTGGTTTTAGTGGGGGAATAAGGCCAAAATTGTGGGGATGGGGCAGTATTATAGGGGATAGGATAAGTATTTGTGGGGTGGTAGGGGAAGTATTGTGGGGGACAGGAGCAGTATTGTGAGATGGTAGGGGCAGTCTTGTGGGGGAGTGGGATTTAGTGGGGGAAAAGACAGCAGTGTTGATGGTGGGGGCAGTATTAGGGGGATAGGAAAAGTATTGTGAGGTTGTAGAGGTCGTATTGTGGAGATATGAGCAGTATTGTGAGGTGGTAGGGGTAGTATTGAGGGGGAGTGGAAGTTAAGTACGGATAGGGACTTTAATATTGAGAATTTAGTAGGGCTTTGGTGTGGGGGGTAGGAGCAGTATTGTCGAGTGGTGGGGCAGTATTGTGTGGTGGGGGAGCATTGGGGCAGCATTGTGGGGACTGTAATAGGTGGTATTGGAGAAGTATTGTGGGTTGGTAGAGGCAGCCTTGTGAGGCAGCTGGACTTTAGTAGGAGTAGGGGCAGTATTGTGGGGGACAGAAGTAGGATTGTGGGGTGATAGGGGAAGTATTGTGAGGATAAGAGCAGTATTGTGGTGAATGGGGCTTTAGTGGGAGGACAGGGACAGAATTGTTGGGGGGCAAAAGTATTTGGGAGGTGGTAGAGGTAGTTTTGTGGGGTTGTAGGGGGCAGTATTGTGGGGAGTTGGTTTTAGTGGGGGAATAGGGCCAGAATTGTGGAGATGTGGGCAGTATTAGGGGGGATAGCAGAAGTATTTGTGGGGTGGTAGAGGCAGCATTGTGAGCAGGGCCAGCGCGTTCATAAGGAGGCACAGGCAGCCAACTTAGGGTGCCAGAGTAGGGGGGCAAAAATCTGAATCCCCTGCCTCTGGCTGGGGACTCAGATTTTTCTAATTACCTTTTCCCCTGCATTCTGCAGCCATCACACAGCAGCAATTGAAGTTGGCCGGCCACTCCTGATGATGTCAGGAGGAGGGGGAGTGACTTCCACTGCTCTTCTCCCTGACTCCCCAGCAGATAGGAGAAGAGCAGTGGAAGTCACACCTCCTCCTCCTGACATCATCAGGAGAGGCTGGCCGACTTCAATTGCTGCAGGGTTGCGACTAGTTCCTATCCAGTAGAAGGACCCTGTCCTTTCTGAGGATAGGAAATAGCTTGCTCAGACTGAGAGAGCTAGTTCCTATCCTGCTAAAGGACCTTTTTGCCCCTAGTGGTCAGGTCCTGTATAGGGATAGGAACTAGACAGCTTAGTGTGAGTAAGCTAGTTCCTATCCTGCTAAAGGACCTTTTTGCCCCTAGTGGTCAGGTCCTGTATAGGGATAGGAACTAGACAGCTCACACTGGGTAGCGGCTAGTTCCTATCCAGTAGAAGGACCCTGGTGACATCACCAGACCATGTGACTGCTTGGTCACATGGTACAGAGAGCTAAAGGAAGCAGCAAAGCGGGAAATCCAAATGAATGAAATGGACTGAGCTGTGCTGATCTCCTGCTGCTGCTGCTGGTGGGAGAGATCTGATATTAACTTTACAAAACATCTTATTATACAGGACAGCCTGGGAGCTGGAGGTTTGCAATGCTTGCCATGCACTGTATGGGAATCCTTGTAAAGCTGGACACTGCAGCCATTACAGAGACTGAACATGGAGAATGAAAGGAAAAGGGATCTTTCAGAGAAGTCACTTTTATTTTATATTTATATAGTTTTATATTTATTTATTTTTTTTTGCCAGTTAATTATGCAGTTATGTTAAACCCTTTATTTTAAATCTCTTTTTTGTCTTTAATTGTAGATATTAATCACTGTCCAACTGTTTTACAGAATACATTGATTATAATGGGACTCTTATATTTTTGTCTTTCTCTCTCCCAACTCTCTCTGACAGCATGTTATATTAACCCTTTTATCCCCACTGACAGTGAGTGTCTCTCTCGCTCTCCCATCCCCTCATTGTGAGTGTGTGTCTCTCTCCCATCCCCTCATTGTGAGTGTGTGTCTCTCTCTCTCTCCCATCCCCTCATTGTGAGTGTCTGTGTCTCTCTCTCTCTCCCATCCCCTCATTGTGAGTGTGTCTCTCTCTCTCTCCCATCCCCTCATTGTGAGTGTGTCTCTCTCTCTCCCATCCAGGGGCGGGCTGGGCCGGGGGGCAGGGAGGCAATTGCCCCCCAGGCTGCCCTAAATTCTGTTGGGACCGGCCGCTACAGGGCCGGCCCTTTAAATGCTGCAGCCGCCTGAGCGCTCTGTAAAGAGCCTCAGGCGGCTGCAGCACATATTCTCCCCTGTAGCGTGGCCGAGCTGCTCTGCTG